AAAACAAAGCTACAGTCAGGGTACTTCCAGGTTACATGGGACCCTAGTGCAGAGCTCTACCAAGGATGGACAGATTTGGGCAATGAAGTAGAATAATATTTCAGATTATTATCTAAAATATAGAATAACCATCCAGACATCCATATAATAGAAATTATTTTTAAACATTAATAAGCAGAAGAAAAAATACAAATAACCAATGCAAAAATCCAAATAATTTATATAGGGGAAGCATGAATCCTAACTCTTTATAGACATTTATTCATCTGTTTACTTATTTGTTCATATGTGTGTATGTGTGTGTGTACACATTTGTCATTGTGTATGTGTGTCTTGTGTGTGTGTATATACACATTTATCATGGTGTGTGTGTTGTGTATATGTGTGTGTAGATTAGAGAATAACTCGCTAAAATCAGTTTTCTCTTTGGATTTCATAGAACCTTTTCCCAAAGATACAGTATGTAAAAACGAGTAAAGGAAAGTTAAAATGAAGAAGTCTGGCAACCCTATCTGAGCCCCATGCAAGAGCACTGCCAGCAATAACAAATCATGTTGATAGTATGTGCCCGTTCTACGATGTGATAAACGTAGGGTTTTATCTTTGTGGTCCTATTTCCATAGTCCATATCTAATCATTAGAAAAACATCAAGCATGCTAGTAGGGACACCCTACAAAAAGTTTGACCAGCGTCGTCTGAAACAAGGCAGGTCAGAGGGAGTACCACAGCCAAGAGCAGCCTAAGTGATATGGCAACCAAACAGAGGAGCATCCTGGATGGGATCATTGAACGGGAAAAGCCATAAGAGAAAAGAAACCCAAGTAAGACTGAATCACGATAGCAACACAGAATGTCGTTTAGAAACATGCTTGTTACTAATTACCAATAGGATGGGAAATTAGGTACAGGGTCACTCTCTGGACCACTTTCTTACTTTTCTGTTAATGAAAAATTATTCTTAGAAATAAAGCCTGTAACTCAAAAAAAGGATATTTATGTGTGATTTTATTTTCATTATTAGAAACCTCCAAATGGTGACCTAGGCATCTATTAAATTCAGATAAGTCCTTATCGTCACTAAGAGTCAAGACACTGTGTTTATTTATTGTTTGCAGTAACTATTTATCCATTCATTCATTTGGTTCTTTGAAACAGGATTTCACTATGTAACCTCACGATCCTCCTGCCTCAGTTCCCAGGGTTCTGTGACCAGAGCTACCAACAATATTATCCAGCTCTTCTAGCTCCTAAATTCTTCTCCTAGCTCCTAAATTGAAAGCCCATCGTCTTTATGTGCCACAGTCTAGATAGCCATGAGATGGCGAAGGCCAGGCGTAGCTATAGGAACAGATGACCCAAGCCTTTTCATCAGTCCACACGCTTAGCATTTCTCTGTGGAAACCCTCCATGGAAACAAAACTCTCAGTAAACCTGCCGTCAATCCATATGGGACACACAGAACCTAGGGCTTTGTTGCTGAAGGTATAGGAGCTCTCAACATCCAGAGGCCTCTTACAGAGTGTCGGGTTTTATTCAATAACTCCAGTGGGACTGTGGGTCATCAGAGTTGTAACTCTGGATGTGAGACGTGAAGATGAGCCATGGACTGAACCCCCAGGCACGAGCTTGCCTTCATTAATCTCATACAACCTCGTAGTCTAAATGGGGAAAGCCTCTGGTTTCACCTTCATTTGATTGAACTGAGCTATATAAGGCTGTTTTCCATACGCCATGCTCTCTAGTCTCATCTTTTTACTCACGAGTTTTATGTTTGCGGAAAATCCAGAAAGGGAAATAGTTTACAAAGGCCACTTAGCCAGTTTATGTGGCTACGTCCCATCAGATCTACACTGAAGCTGTTATTTAGCCTCATTTAGTGAATTGCTACATCGATACGTGTAATGACTTTAGATGTGGCATTAATTCCTAGCTGCTTGTCAGTGACCAGTGGCTTCTAGTTCTGAAGCTCATTCAAGTCAAGTGTCTCTTTTCTACTCTCCTAGCCTCTATGTCAACTGTTTACAGGGTCTTTGTACCCACGCTCACATCCATTGTATATATAACGTTTAAAAATAATTCCTGGAGAAATGCTGGAAGACTTTCTACAGTTCTGCAGTGACTAATACACCTTTTCCAGAAACCTATCTATTCCCATGTGTCAACAATCGTAAACACAGTTGTGCCCTTTGACCCAGTGTTCCACTTCTAGGAATCCACGCTCTGGGTAGAATTAAACTTGCAGGAAAGCAAAATCTTTGAATATATACCTGTTGGCACTGCGTCAAATAGCAAAACTTTAAACAGTGACATGTCTGATCACGACTGGGCTGGTATTAGGCAGAGAATGGTTAAGTAAATTACAAAATATCGAGTCTGAAAATATGTTGAAAAATATCCACGGGGCTGGGTATGTTGGCCTGTGCTTTTAATCTCAGAACTTGGGAGGCAGAGGCTTGTGGATCTCTGTTAGGTCCAGCCAACCTAATCTACAGAGTAAACTCCAGGCTAGCAAGAATGACTTGGTAAGATTTATCTCAAAACAAACAAACAAAACAAGTAAAGAATGAAGTTGGATACACACACATATACCTATTATAGGTCCACATAATATACTTGCAACTATATTTCAAAGTATTTATAGGAAATGGATGAGCTATAAACAAGAGTATACCATTAACAAAATGTGTAAGGTGACTATTTTATGGTAGTAGGATTATGGATTGTTTTTCTTCTAATCTTTGACTTTAAAGATGTCTAATGTCTAGCACCTATCTTGCCAGCTCACACTTAAGACATGGAAAACCCCAAGTAAAGCAGACAGGGAGTTGCTTGTTTTCCAGTTTTGAATATTTGACGTCAAGTGGCAATCACCTCTGTGAGGCTCACAGTGAAAGTGAGAGTTGCCTGTGCACTTCTGGAGAGAGAGGGCCCTCTACTCTGGAGATACCAGCCTCCCCAAGAACGAGCTGCCATCTCTCCTATGGGCATTAACTGGGAAGAATCTGCAGGTCTCTGCCCCCCTCCCCCCGACAGTGTGGGTATCTTGTTGGTTAGGGTTTCACAATATTTGCGAATGTCAAAGGGGTTCCTTGGGGCTGTGCTATCCTGGCAGCTAAATCCCCAAGACCCTCTTGGGTCAACGGGTGGTTGATAGCATGTTTGGCTAGCAAATGCGGGGGTGGGGGGAGAGAAGCAGATAAACTATTTCAGTGTGAGAGAATCACAGAGCTGTTAAGAACTTTGGGGATTACGCCATTATCAGAGTCACTGGTTTTCCAAGAAGGGTATGGAGGTAGATGTCAGGATCTACTAGAAGGTGAGAGCAAGGATCGTGGTTCCAATAAGACTCTGTTAAACTACAGACACAATGGGTTGCTTTTTCATGCATGTACTTCCATGTTCAAGCTCACATGTTCCATTAACCTTTTGTGATATAGACACTGTGCTGAATGAGCAAAGTGTGGGATCCTCACCACAGGTGTTCACCATCTCCTGAAGGTGTAAAGATCCAGAAAGGTGGTGAGACATGGCTTCAGTTATGCAAAAGATGGCACCTGGACGAAAATTGGCCCCATATGTCCTGATAACTTCTCAGAGGTTCTTCCCTGACATGACTCTCATATGAGGGTGAGGCACTGGCTCCCTCTTGACAGCATCGGTTCTTTGAAGTGCTTGATGTAGTATTTATAAAAATCGAGTATAGCCCAACTGCGTCGATGTACCATGAGGTACATCTAACTCTCCACATAGAGAGAGCACTAAAGATGCCCACAGCATCAGCCTTGTCCCCCATCATCAGCCTTTTTGCCCAACTCTCAGACCACAGCAGCACAATTTTATCCCAGGGAGGGTAGAACTTCAGCTTAGCTCTCACTTGCTCTTTCAACCACCTTGAAAAGCCTATTGTCCTGGGCTACATGTTCAGTACCTACTGAGCTCTACCATAAACAGAGATCACCCAGCATTATGTTGTTCTTCTGCTTCACACAACCTCAAGTTACATCCACATCCTGGACTCTAGACTCCAACATTGTTCACAGCAGAAACTGGGCACCATGAGGTCTATTCGTCCAAGGCTAAGTGCACCTCTGCTCTATGGGCATTCCAGAATTTGGGGTCACAAACCTTAGATATTATGCACCAGCCCCGCAACAAGATGTGTTTCCACAGCATCCCAGTCATCAAGACCCAGCCTGCCTCAGGTTGGACATCTCAACCAGGAGCTGTGACTGTTTTCCATAGCCAGGCAAAATAAATTGGATACTGTAGCAGTCAACTTCCCGTCCCTATAACAACTTCGGATACAATAACATTTAAAAAGAAACTGTTTATTCTGGCCAGGTTTTAGAAGTCTCATTCTGGTTCATTGAACTGGTTGTTTGGGCTTTGTGGCAAGGCAGCGTATCATGAGAAAGTGATGCATTCACTGCAAGGTTAGAATGCTGAAAGACAGAGGTCACACCCTTGATGAACTGAAGCCCTCCTAGGAGAGCTACCTCTTAGAGTGTTTCACCTCTAGTGGGATGGAGTCCAGCCTTTAACATATGGCACCGTTGGGAGGCATTCCCAATCCAGACTGCACAGATACTGTGGTACATACATAACGCCCAGATGAGATTTTACAATTAATCGAATGTCTAGCAGCTTTCAGCGTTTAAGCATCTGATTGCTGAGATTAACCTTGCCACTTATAAGCACTGGCAGTAAAATTTCAGCAAAATATTCAACACGAAATCGACAGAAAAAGACTAATAATGATGTTTTAATAAAGGCCATAATTTAGAAATGTTTATTAGGAATCAAGGAAGTGATGCTAAATCAAAAAATGAAGCCCTTTGGGCTCTCTGTCTTCTTTCCAATCCCATACACACAACTTTCTACACCAGACTCCTGTAAGAACCACGCAGTTTCTTCCACTCTGCACCCATAGCCTCCATGCCTTGTTCTCTGTCTTGGATATAAACTCAGGATAAGAGGTACTTCGTTTTTGTTTTCTTAGCATATGCCTGACAGACGATGCTCACTTAGCAAATGTTGATGGAGTTGAAGAAGGAAGAACTGAAAGAGAATTCAGTGTGGAGCCCGAGGACCCAGGTGACAGCGTGAAGCTCCACGGTTGACTAATTCTCTGGATCTCAGTTTCCTGTTCTCTAAAATGGTCATTTCTATCAAGGGCGAACCTAAGAGGCATCTTATGAGGATTAAGGGCAACGGAGAGAAAGGTGATCCAGAAGTTACAGTTCAGAGTGGCTTGGGAATCCTTAACCAGATAACAACTGTTCTAGCCACAGCAAGGCATTCCCTTATTTGATATCACACTCCGAGACCCATATTATTTCTAGAAAAACTGTATTTCAAGTGCCCTGTCTTGACTTTGTAACCATTCTTAAATATGATAATTTCACTTCCTCAAATGCTTTAAGCCTTTAAATACTGGAAGACATACATTGCTGCTAAAGATAAACACTGATCCAAAGAAAAATTTAAAAAGATCATCAGAAAGTCTTTTTGTTCTTGAAATGCAGAATTGGAAATGAACCATTTTCTTGTAGTGGGAACCGAAATCCAGTGTTAGATCCTTGTTTCTGGTACCTTCTTCCCCTTTACTTTAGCTCCTCCCTACGCCTCTTCTATACCCAAATAGGAAAATAGCCGTTGTTTTCAGCTAACCTCACTCTTAGAAAAATGAACAGTGAATTTCCAACTGACTAAGCCTGCGTTCTAAGATCGACAAGGTCACTGCTTACAATGTTTTCAAGCCATTGAAGGGATGAGTGAGTTATCGAAATAATGAGGGAGGATAATTATCTACCCCCGAATCCTCAACGATGGAAAAAATCCTGGTCTAGCTCTATCCCATGAGAGAATCTCTAAATCTATCCCTTTTATCTCTACAGCAAATACAGAGCCATCCCCAGGACGTGACAGTAAATAGAAGAGGATCTTCATACGGATTAAAGGAAATATCAGCAGTGGTATTTAAGGGGGAGAGTCAACCACTAGCGGAAGAAGGCAATGATAAAACAAGTAAAACAATGGATGTTTGACATCTGCTATGGTGTAAATTCAAAAGACTAACCACTCTAAAACCCACCTTGTGGGGCTGGAGAGATGGGTAAAGTGCCTAATGCATGAGCATGAAGACCTGAGCTCGGATCCCCAGCAGTCATGCGAAAATCCTGGCATGGTGGTGTGAATCTATAACCTGGTGTACGTCTGAGGACAGAGAAGAAGGTAGACAGAGTCAGGCTCTTCCTCAGATTGCTGACCAGCCAGTCTGGTCAGTTGTTGAGCCCTGAGTTCACGGAGAGACTCTGTCTCAAAATATAAGAGGGAGATCATTCAAACAAGACACCTTGTGTTGCCTTCTGATCTCCACACCACGTGTGTGCACACATACTCCCATGCAGATGCATGCATATCCCCCCAAACACACACACACACACACAGTTATTCCACACCCACACAAAAGCCAGTCACTGTGGAGTACATCTGTAACCTCAGTGCTGGTGGATGTGTGAAGACAGCCAAATCCCCGGAGCTCAATGACCAGCAAGCCTAGACGAATTAATGAACTCTGGATTTAGGGAAAGAACCTCCCTCAAAAGATAGGACAGAGGACAGTCATGGAAGATCATGGAAGATACTCAAGGATCAATCCCTAGCTTCCACATGCGTACGACGGACATGCATGCATAATGTGTGTATGCTCATGTGAACATATACACATATGTTCATGTATATGAACACTCACGTTTATGAACCACACTCACAGAAAATAAAACTAAATAAATAAAATAATAATTTAGAAGGCCTCCCTTTTCCCTCTTTTCCTCCATTTCTTTTCCTTAAAGGTTGACTCCAAACTCACCATGTAGCCTAGACTGGCCTTGTAGACCTGACGTCCCTTCCTCTACCTCTCAAGTTCTGAGATTAAAGGTGTGTGCCACCATCTCAGGCCAATCCCCTGTGTATAGTCTACAATAAGTACCTAAATGGGACAGAAAGTTGAGGGTATTTCACAAGTATGGATTCACAGCACCTCCAAAGGGCTGAGGTGGCGGCTATAGCATGGCATGAGAACTCCCACAGTTTGGAGCTTGCATGCAGTACTTACCAGTCTGGTCGCACCAAGTCCACAATTAATAGGACTTTTTTGGGGATTCTGAGAGGTAAAGCAGCAAGAATATTGATGTATATGTATATAGACTGAAAAATGAAGATGGGCGCACTGGGACAGAAATTAGGATCCTGGAAATGCCCATATCGAGCAAGGACAGCCATCTCCCACTATGGTTCCATTTTCTCCTCTTTCCACTTTTCTCATCCCCAACACCTTCCACCCAACTGTACTTGTGGGCCCCTTATTCCCACCCCAAACTAACTATATTTAGGTTGAGCAAAGCAGAGGAACTATCATGACAAGGTCTGTCCTTCTCAACACTGGAAGCTGAGCTTAGTACTGTTTGATTTATGGAGTCTAGAACAGAAACATGGACAAACTAATCACATTCCACATTTCCCCAGTTGAACACTGACGTGGTCGTACTTTTTCAGCATGGGATTCACCACAGACACGTATCTTCAGGACTTACTAAATCAACAACCATGAGAGTCAAAACCACAAAAGTTAATTATGAACTTTACACCGAGTATACACTGAATTCTAGACTAGAGTTAACTAGTACAAAAAGCACAGACACATCCCTGAAGAAACTCATGTTCTACACGAGGAGACACACATTCACAGATTGAATCCTGCCAAATTGTGACAACTGGGATACGGGAGATAACCAGAGCACTGAGACTAGGGAAGGCCACAATTCACCCAGGCAGACAGGGATAGCTGGGAAGTAAACATTTTAATATGAGATTTAGAGGAGGAGGCTGCACTTGCCAGGCCCAAAGTGAGAGAGAGCCTGGTAAGGCCAAGGAAACAGGAGCGAAACATTTCAAAGCACAAATTCATGGTATGTTCAAACAGCTGAAAGGCACGGGAGTAAAGTGAGCTGGGGGAGAATCAGGAGGGAACTCATGTGGGGCTTCACAGATCACGCTTAGGACAGGTTATTCCAAATGTTTAATGAGCTCATGTGAGGGTTTGTAGCAAGACGGTAACAAGATCTGACTTTTGTTTTCAGAAAGTGCTGTCTGAATTTGCTTAGTAGTACTGTGCTAAAGCACCATGACCGAAAGCAGTGCAGGAAGGAAAGGCTTTATTGGACTTAGAGTTTACATCATCAGGGAGGCAAGGCAGGAACTCAGGGCAGGAATCTGGAGGCAGGAACTGAGGCAGAGACCATGGAGGGGTGCTACTTACTGGCCTCCTCCCGATGTCCTTCTCAACCTGCTTTCTTATCTCAACCCAGAACAACTTATCCACAGTGGCTAAGCTAGCATACACCAATCACTAATGATTGCTTGTAGGTCCATCTTATAGACTTCTTTTTTCTTAAGTTGAGGCTTCATCTTCCCAAATGACCATAGCTTGCGACAAACTGACGAACAAACAAAACTCACCAGCTCATCCTTCCAACTGTTTATGGATGAAAGGGGTCTGAAAAGATTTTTTTTTCAGTTTTTCGAGACAGGGTTTCTCTGTAGCTTTAGAGCCAGTACTGGAACTTGCTCTATAGACCAGACTGGTCTCAAATTTACAGAGATCCACCTGCCTCTGCTTCCTGAGTGCTAGAACTCAAGGTGTGCGCCACCAACGGCCTGGCCAGAAGAGAATTTTTAACAAGGTTATTGTAGGATCCATGGTGGGAGGTGAACTAACACGGTCTAAGGAATTAGCTTTGTAGATGGGGAAGCCTGAAAAGACTTGAGACATACTTTGAAGTGAGAACTGACAGGATTTAACAACAGACCAGGCTGAGCTGGGGTAGGTGGAGAAGAAAGGAGAGCTAGCGATAATAAATCTCAGAGTTTTTGACTGGGCATCTGGAAGACTGTTTCTATTTATTCAGTTAGAAACAGGGTAAAAAAAAATCTATTAGGGGTAATTATTCAAAACTCAGTTTTGAACATGATATGTTTAGATGTCTCTGAGGTAGGTGTTTTAAGGGAGGCAATTGAATATTCAAGACCTGAATTCAAAAAGGATGCCAGTTTGGAGACACAAATTTGGAATTCATCAATTTTTGATAGAAGGAGAAAGAATTGATTTTTTTGTACTAGACAAGTTTAAAACAGAAACACCAAAAAGAACTAAGGCCAAAGTGGTGGCTGGGGAAGGTGGCTCACTCTTGCAATACCCATCCTCAGAAGGCTGGGGAAGGATACCATGAGCTTAATGCTTCCCTAGACTGTAGCGAATTCTAGGCTAGCCTGAGCTAATCTACACCTGACGTGTATGTTAAACAATTTACCCATTCAATGCTTGCTTTGAATGAGAGACAACCAATGAATAGAAACTTCTATTGAACTTTCTGTAATATCTTGCCTTCTCTTTCCATTTTCTATGTAAACACATTTGCTGTGAGTGTACTATGCTTCAGTTAGAGTACAAATGGTTGTAAAGTTCAGTCTTTAAAATACAGTTGTGCTATAGCTCAGTACTACTAGCATGATGCAAGAACCCTACAGGTGCACTATTGACACAGGTACCTTGGCAGTAACCAACAGCTTTCTAACTGGACTTAAGGCCCACTCAGCAGGAGGGAAATCATGCCTGGTAATAAAAACCTAGCCAACTACTCAGGGCTGATGCAGTCATGGTGATTGGAAGAGAACCTACAACCACAGCTTTACTGAGCCAGTACAATCCCTAACATTCCAAGTCTTAGTTCTTACACCAGAGAAGTGTAGTTCTCACTCTTATCAGGGAACCCTTTTCCTTTGCAAGAGATGGAGAATATTACAGAAAACCACAACCAACAAAAATCCAAAATGTTGGAGCCCTGTCTCAATGGATACATCTACAAAACAACTCTCACACCTATGGCTCAGGGATCATTCCAGAAGAAAGGACAGAAAGATTGTAAGAGTATGTCTTAGAATGAGAGAAGTTACACTTATAAAGTCTCCCCAACATGTCTGACTAAGCATGATCTAAACAAGAGCAGCAGTAGACATACCAGAGTGGATGGAGGAAAGTCCAGGAAGCCTTGCAAAGACCTACACAGGCCACTAAGGACTGAAGGAGAAAAAGTCTTCGCCAACAAAGAACATCTCAGGTGGTTATCCAATCCTAAACGGTCAGTCCTGAAAACATAGCTACAAATAACATTATATAGACTAAGGAAGCTGTATTTAGGAATATATATGTATATACAGGTATGTATATGCAACAATTAATGAAAATGGAGGGTCATGAATTTGAAAGAGAGCAAGGAGGGGTATATGGGAAGTTATGGAGGTAGAAAAAGGGAAGGAAAAATGATGTAATTAGATTATAATCTAAAAAAATAAAATATTTTAAAATATATAGTTATTTAATGAAGGGTGCTAGTAGCTGCTATCCTGCATGGGCAGGCATGTCCCTGTGCCTACAGTTGCACACTTTCTATCAACAACGATTTAATATGCACCGACCATGTATACAGTGGCCAAAGACATTGCCTCTGTCCCTTGGTGCTCCAAGGTTGGCACAGGAGGGAGGTAACAGCAAACAGAAGCAGTGACCAGAGCCGTCAGAGACAAACAATATAGTTTAGTTGAACAAAAGTCCATGCTGCTTGAGACTAGAAGATTGAGCGGAACTTCTTAGAGGTGAGAGATTTTAGTATAGCATTGAAACAAAGAAAAAAATGTACATACCCTTGAAATAACAGGCATAAAACCAGCCAATGGCTTTGAAATGACTAGTTCCTTTTTACCATAGAACCCAGTATGGCCTGTTCTAAGAAAATATTTTGTATTTATGATTTGTTCAGTCACCGTAACAATCTTATAAAATTGGTGGTGGTGGTAGTAGTTGTGGTGGTATTGTCCCTATCTTATAGACCAGAAACAGATGTGTAGAAAGGTCAAGCTCCAGACAGCTGAGCTGGGACCTGAACTCCAAAAACCTGCAGCCTGCACTTCGTTGTTATTCACCTTATGAATGATGCTCAGAACTTCAAAATGCAGGTCAGGGGAGGGAGTGTGGAGAGACAGTGTTCTAATTTCATCTCCATGGTCCCCCTGCGTGGTGGCTTTCCTTGCCTTTCAAAGGGGAAATAGTTGGAGTCCGACTCCTTCCTGGAAGCCTAGTGGTTTTCCTTGGGCCATGCTCACTTCCACTTCCAGGCTCTGCTCAGGTTTTTGTCACTAAGAGCCCTGGGACCCTAAGAATCCACAGCATCACCTGTGAGTTCATTAGGTAGCTTTTCTGACAATGGAAAATCCCAATTAATATCTTTGCCAAAATCTTCCAGTTGCTCTTACATTTGGCCGCCCTTTCCTGTGTGGTGAAAGTCAATATTTAAATATGAAACCTGACTTCAGTGTTTTCAAAAAAATTCAATTCCATTATTAGAACTGATTGAACCTGGGCTTCGTGTCTGTGGAAATGGCTAGGAACAGGGCGGCCTGTGATACCCCAGGCTCAGTCTATTGCTGAAATAATGACAAAACCCTGTACTGCACTGGTGGTCACATCAGGTACAGTTCAGTAAGTACCACTTCCTAGGGCACAGATTTAGACCCTGCAGGGAGACTATACAATCAGTGTTCAGAAGAACAGGACTGGCTGCAGAATGGATCCTGTGGCAAGTAAGTCAAATGCTAAAAGAAAGATAATCAAGAGATGAGAGAAAAGTCACAGCCAGCTCGACAGCCTCCGGCAGCAAGGAAGGGCTGGCTTCCCAAGCAGCATCGGATTTGTTTGTAC